TTGGTAGTTAGAACTCACTTAGAGGCACCTCTGAAGAAAGGCCTAGCATTCACGGCCATGAAAACCTTTTGGAGCTCTGAAACACTTGGAGTGGTCATGAGTCAGAATCGATTCAGCAGGAGTGGGTTTTAGCCATTATTTTGATTTGGAAGTTGTATTTTATGTATAGTTTCACAGCTTCTAATTTGCTGGTGAGTTAAAGTTGTTCAGCAATAACAACTACTTTTCCTATGAAGAATCCAGTGGGAACTGTTAACATCTGGTGAATACTTAACCTAGCAAATGCTACTTCAAACAAAGATAAGATTGGTGCTGGTGACTCTGTACATGTCCACGTGTGCTGTCTTCTCTTAGGCGTGGAGACTGGGAGAAGAGGTGGTTCAAAGGTGCTCAGAATGCAGCCAATTTTTCTATAACAAAGGGAGATTCTCAATGAGTTGTTGCTGTTCTGTAGCATCAGAAGAGCTTGTGATTCATAATTTATCATTTAATAAATCTTGTATGATATTTTAATTGCATATTAATTAGAAATGAGTAAGATACAATGTTATAAGAAAGATCTGAGTTATTAGTAATTTTAAAAAAACAAAATTAAGTCATAAAATTAATTACATTGTTTTCATTTTAGTTTCTTTATATCCAGTAATTCAACACATAATTTTTGTTTGACAACCTAGTCCAAACAAGGTGTGGTGAAATTAATAATACAAGGCCATTTTTAATCTCAAGGAGTTGCATATCGAAGGAGAAAGATAAATTTAACACAGCACCTGGATCTGATCCATGGCCTATTTAGAAATATTGTTTAGTTATCAGTTGCTGGGAGAAGCTTGTTAACCTCTTTAGTTCTGATTATGGAATTGTCTCATTGTCACTTAAATTTTGTTACCAGCTTCTCTTGTATTCACCCAGAGATATTTTGTGCTCGAGCCTGTTTGTATGCATATGACTTAAAAAAAACCAGAACTAGGCATATTTTGCATTCTTTGCTTAATTCCTTTTGGAGGTTGTTTTATTCCAGTAGATATACATTGTTAAAAATAATGAAATTTGAACATAAGGCTTATTCTGAGCAGTTATTCTATATGCATATGTGAAGACCATTTTGATTCCAGAAAAAGCAAATGGCTTAGGGAACTCAAACTGATTCTGACTCATAGCAACCCTATAAGACAGAGTAGAATTGCCCCATAGGGTTTCTAAGGCTGTAGCTGACTGCCAAATCTTTCTCTTGCAGAGCAACTGATGGTTTCAAACTGCCAACCTTTTTGTAAGCAGCTAAATGCTTATCCAGTGCACTGTGAGAGCTCCTATAAAGAGGAGGGAGAAAGACCAATCACTGGCTAACTGCAGCATGATTGATTGCCCCCCGCCTTCCACCTTGTGCTGAGATCCACTGATACCAGGTTACTTCTAGCCTGGCTGCTAATAATTTGGCCCTCTACCCCCCTGCAGCCATGAGGCTT